TTTGAAATTATTAGATTTAAAAAACAAGGCTGATCTCTTAAATCAAAGATATGAACTGACAGTAAATTGTAAAACACCGTTATAAATTTAACTTAGTGTAGGGTCGTATACTTTAAATGATAATGATATGTCGCTGTATTTTTAATAGATTAGTATTTTTATTGCATAATGGTCATACTTACGATATAAGTGTGTATTGTTTACCTGCATAGTGTTATCAGTGTTGGTGTAAATATATATATATATTTATTTATGTGTTGGTTAGAGTTTTGCACTGAGGAATGTGTAGGTTGGTGTATAAATGTATTTATGGTTTTTTTTTTTTTTTTTTTTACATGTGAGGGTGTATGTGTGGGTATGTATGTATGTATATATATGTGAGTGTGTGTATATATGTATATATATATTATGTGGGAAAGTAAGGTAGATTATGAGAGAAAAGGTTAACAATATTACTGTATATGTGTATGTGTGTGCCTATATATGTATGTGTGTATGGGTGTGTGTGTATATATGTATGTATTTGTGTGTGTATGTGTATATATGTATGTATGTATGTAGAGATATATATATATATATGTTTGTATATATATATGTATATATATATATATATATGTGTATGTGTGTATATGGTTGGATATATATATATATTATATATGCATATATATGTGTATGTGTGTATATGTATGTATGTGTGTGTGTGTGTATATGAGTATGTACAGGTATGTATATGATTAAATCACGACAGTATAATAGTTAGCCAGCATGGTTCACTAGATTGGGTGCGACTGGTAATGAGTTCGTTCCTCACGGGATGCCCTTGTTTTCAGCTTTGTGCCACAATATATTTGTATATATATGTATGTGTATGTGTGTATGTATGTGTATATATATATGCGTGTGTGCATATATATATATATATGTGTATATATATCTGTATGTCCTATTTTATTGTGTATGTGTATTTATATTTAAGTATATTTCTGTTTGTATGAATGTGTTTATATATTTGTATGTTAGACTATATGTATATTGCTGTGTGTTGGTGTTTGAAGGTATATTTATGTATCTATATGTTAGTTCGTTTATATATGTATTTGGTTGAAAGTTGTTGTATTTTTTATGTATGCATGTATATATGGGTGGTTGTTATTGCAGGTAGATATATTTATGGATATATATATATATATGTAGATATGTATGTATGTGTGTATATATATTTATGTATGTTTGTGTATGTATATATATATATAGGTGTGTGTGTTGGAACCTATTATGTATGAGTTTGTGTGTATGTGTAGGTATGGAAACTTTGGTATATCATGACTGTTTTTTATATATCTAAGTATGTGTGCATAAAAGTCTATGTGTGTATATATGTGTGTATTTAGGTTTATATGTATATGTACGTACATATGTACTTATCATAGATATATATATGTACGTATATGTTTATTTTATATATTTATTCGTGTGTATTTCTGTAATGTATATGTATGTATGAATATATATATATATATATTTTTTTTTTTTTATGTGTGTTAATTTGTTTTTGCTGCCGTGTATATATATATATATATATATATGTATATATTTATTATTTCTTTATCCTGTTTTTTTGCCAAATATATAATGAAACTATTATCAACTTATATGATTAATAATATATATATATTTTTATTGATATTTATTGTTTTAGAGTTTTCGTTTTAATATATTAAATAATATTATTTTAAACATTTTTATCTTTATATATTTGCTCCCTTAAGTTATAATTTCAATAAGTGGTTAGCATTTATTTAAGTCTGAAATTTTTACTGGTTGTGATTTCTCAATGTCTATGACATTGTGGATGTATGTTTGTGTACATATCGGTGTCTATGTGTATGTAGAGTGTATTCACATTTAACTGTGTGTGTGTATAAGTGTTAGTTTCCATTCCTTTTTTTCGTAAAGGGCTGTGGAGTTGTTCATGTATTCCCCCCACCTCTTTTTTTTTTTTTTTTTTTTTTTTTTTTTTTAAGTGTGTATATTTGTGTGTGTGTGTGTGTGTGTGTGTATGTATCTAATTATGTCTGGATGCGTATGTATATAATCTGATTGTGTTTTTTGTTGTGTCACGCGTGAGTTTAAGACCATATTCACAAACTTTAAAATAAAAACGGAAAAGAAAAAAAATATATACATGTATTATCAGATGACCGGACGAATTGTAGCTTTTTGTCTTGTCGAACGTAATTTCAATGAAGAAATGAATTGAATAAACATATATATTTTTTTTTTCTCAATAATTTTGTAGTTTTAAACTTAATAGTGATTAAATTTGGATTTTTAAAATTGCCAGTTTTTAATTTTAATATTAAATTTTATCATATAAATTTATAATTATTAGTTAGTAAAAATTATTTTTTTATATTACACGTATTTAAAGATCTAAATAGCTATAATAGCAGGATTTTGTTGTCAAGCTTTTGAATCTTTCTGTACTTCGTTTTTTGATTGGTTATTCTAGCTTTTGTAACAATGCTCCCCCCTAGTGTAGGATCGTTAATTCATCTGAAACTTTTAAAACCATTTATTTTATTTTCAAACACCATCACTTGATAAGACACAGAGTGTGTTGAAACAAAATGGCTATTTTGTAGTGATTTTATAACATACTTATGTTATAAATTTTTTATAAAAATATATATATATATATATATATATATATATATATATGTGTGTAATATATGTATTATTATTTATATATTATATGCACATATATTAGAAAAGGGCTCAATATCAGAGTTAGAATGTTATATTTGGTTGTATTGACCTCAGTTTGTAACCCATGGGTTTCTGGACGATCGTAAGAGTGTGAAACCCAGGGTCATTTCTTTCATATCAACTGAACCAAATATATATAATATAATATATAGTTAGATAGATAATAGACTGGTTGATACACACACATGCACACACACGCATATATATATATATATATATATATATATATATATATATATATATATATATATATGCATACATACATACATACACATACATATATATATATATATATATATTTCCAAGAGGATAGAATCCAGGTAGAACTCAATGTCCATGACAGAGTAATAATATAATAAAAGGCTAAACACTAATATGGAAAATTATATTTATTATGATTATATATATATATATATATATATATATATATATATATATATATATATATATATAATTTCATCCACACTATATATATATATATTTATGTATGTATATATATATATATATATATATAGTGAGAGAGAGAGAGAAAGAGAGAAACAGAGACAGAGAGCGATAGAGAGCTGTTCGGAAGCCGTGTAGGAGAGCCTCCGTTATCTGAATAAAATCATTTCTCCTTGAACTTCTTGGGAGGCGCATTCTGTACATAACCTAGTTGTTCTTCAGTTTGAGCCGACTGTCTAGTTTAGTCTATTCGATTTTCTTCGGTTTGTAAACACGGATATCGTATGTCTGAGCGAATATGCTAGGCTCTTTTTGATTGCTGGACAATGACAGATGACGACATTGCCTTGAGACGCTTCACTTTGTTTCTTTGTTAAACCACTTTCATATAGCTTATTCATTTTTTTTAAAGCAATGTATTAATATCAAACGTTATTGTGATGGGAAATTATATCAGAGAAGCATATTTTCAAATACACCCAGAAATTACTTTTAATTCTACTCATCATTTGATTTCGAAATTTAACGGATTCTCATTTTAACGAAACTGGTTAAACAAACTTGACCGCCATTTTGTATTCTGACTTGCACATCAACTTAATTTTTTTTATTTTTTTATTTTAGAAACTTACTAAGCGTAGCTTAGTTCTGGCACAGGGCCGAAGAAACGGAGCGCCCAGTCACGATAGAACTCACTACTCAGTCGTAACTGACCTAGCTTAATTGATTTTTTTTCTTTTTTTTTAAGTATATCACCCCAAGCAAGGCGGGTGTACCATTAGTACGCAAGGGTTTACAGAGAGTGATAGCAAGAGTTAAGAGGGGTGTTTGAAGAAAAAATACAGAGAAGGACGAGGATCAAGATCAAGGTATCAGAAGATGTCGCTTGACATTACATTTGAATATTTGAAGATAATAGCTGTCAGGGAAGCAATTAAGAGGAAGGGAGTTGCACTGACGGGAAGTGCTAGATAAGAAGCTGTTGGAGTAGAAAAGACGGCTACATTTAACCGTTTTGACAGAGAAAGGGTGGGACCGAAATGCCAACCTAGTCGTCGTCGTCGGCATCCGTCCGTCTCGAGAGACGATGGAGTTGCGCGGTGAGCTACGAGTCTGAGCGGGATATATAGAGAACTAGGGCTTCCCAGACATCTAGTTCCCCCTCTCGGCTTTGCTAGCAAAGTCCAAAGGAGAGGATAAACCAATACAGTTTGGTACCAGCGCGGCTGCAGGAGTTGCCAGAAGGTAGCACAAAGTGCCGTCCATCTGCCTTAGGGGCTCCACTCCGGGTTTTGAATTCATAGTTGTCCTTTTCCTAGTCCAGCTGCCATCCAAGGCTATAGAAACCAGTATTTACCCATAGCTGGAGGGAGAAGAAGAGGATTCACACCTATCCCAAGGGTATTAGCACGTAAGTGAATGTAATGGATTCGACTGGGATTCGACCTCGTAGCAACCTAGTAGCACGCTTAAATTCATGCAGTTTCGGAACCAGTGAAAGTATAACTGATTTTTTTTTTACAGTGAGGTTCACTCTGTGTGAGGCCCAAGGGCCACTCGAGGTAGAAGAGGCAGTTTATGCGGATAGGAGGTGAAGATAAAAATTAAGAAAAGACTTGAACCTGTTATGATTGTAGTAATCGTGGAAAGATCGATCCTCTTGGTTCCACAGATCAATAGTTCACGGGAATAAACTGTTCGAGTGTAACTTATGCAATACGGGGGTGGGGAATGTGGGTGGTTTGTTACTATGTAGGTGGCACAGTGGGTCCTGGCCGTAAGGATAGAACTGACGGAAATAAAGAATGTTTTCTTCTTTTCTTCTTCTTCTTCTTCTTCTTCTTCACTTTCTTTCTTTTTCTTCTGCTTCTTTTTCTTCTTCTTTTTCTTCACTTTCCTTCTTTTTCTTCTGCTTCATCTTCTTCCTTTTCTTCTTCTTCTTCACTTTCCTTCTTTTTCTTCTGCTTCTTTTTATTCTTCTTCTTTTTCTTCTTTCTCTTCACTTTCCTTCTCTTTCTTCTGCTTCTTTTTCTTCTTCCTTTTCTTCACTTTCTTTCTTTTTCTTCTGCTTCTTTTTCTTCTTTTTCTTCACTTTCCTTCTCTTTCTTCTGCTTCTTTTTCTTCTTCCTTTTCTTCACTTTCTTTCTTTTTCTTCTGCTTCTTTTTCTTCTTCTTCTTCTTAACTTTCCTTCTTTTTCTTCTGCTTCTTGTTCTTCTTCTATTTCTTCTTCTCCACTTTCCTTCTTTTTCTTCTTCTTCTTCTTCTTCTTTGCGATTCTACCAACCAGTTACTCAGGGTCATTAAATAGTCAATTCCCGGCATCCCTTTGTCTCCCTTACTTGCAATATATCCTGTCAGTGTAGGATTCCCTAGAAATTTACACTGTCTCTTTCTGATTCTATGTATAAGGAAAACTTTTCTTTACCAACATGTAAGGCAAGGTAAACTATGGAGAACACTAAGTGATGTAATATAGAGTATATATTTCTTTACACAGCTATCTTTAAGAATATTTTATAATTTTATGGTGTGCTGGATTTACAAGGCAAACGTGCTCCATATCCAGAAAAGAGCGATAGTTAGAAGTGTGGGCACTGATGGAAAAACCGAGTGGCGACAGACTGTTTCCTTACACACACACACACACACATACACACACACACACATATATATATATATATATATTTGGTTGGATAGATGTGAGTTTTGCATTTCCTCGCATGTATGTATATACGTGTGGTGGGGTTTGTGTCAAATTATGATAGGTAAAAATTATTATTATTTATATTTATTTTAAAACTTTTTAAAAAAAAAAAATGGGGTTTATTTGTTATATTTAAAGCTGGTTATTTGTTTGTTTTTGGTGACTCTGTATATGTAACAGGTAGAAATTTGTAATCCTTATTGGATAATTTATATGGTGATGTTTAATATTCAATGTGCTGGGTGAGAGGGTAGTTCAATTTAATAACTGGTCTATATGATATGATGTGATAGTATGTTTCAAGGGATTGGAGACAATGATTATATAATTAGCTAATAGTTATTGTAAATTGGTAGCTTTTTGCTGCCATATGTATTCTTCATCCGATGAGGAATAACAATCACAACCTTTCATTCAACAACAGGAAATATTCGAACAGCACAACACTTTCTACATACATATGGCAGCAAAAAGACAAAAACATCACACCAACAATAAGTTGGGAAATATTGAAAAAAGCCCCTGCCTACAACAACATTACGAAAAAAATGCCTACATTGCCTACACGAAAAAGTAGCAATAATATCACACAAACCGCAAAAGAACTTACTAAACAAAAAATCAGAGATAATCTCCAAATGTAGGCATGAAAACAAGTACCTATTATCCGAATTCATACCAAACGGATAAAACAGACAAACCACCAACAATCACAATTTAATTTCAAGATACCATCAAAATAATTGCATCTATCATTATTATCATTGCACCACCATTAGTAATCACTTTTACCACTTTACAATATCTATTAACTAATAATATTATCATTACCACCAACACACAGCACCATCACTTACACATCACACCCACTATTAACATATAAATCCACTACAATCTTTTTAACTCCCCCAGCATATTTAATACCTTAAAACAATATGATCAGATATAATTTCCATATGTAACCATGAGAATAAACACTTATTACCAGGCAGCTTTAATATAATAACAATAATTTTGTAATTAAAAATTATAGCAATCTTCAACTACTATAATTTTACACAGAATAACTATTATCAGGATTTATACCAAAATAAATTAATACATATAACAAAATAAAGTAGAAATAAAATAAAACACCAACAACCAATTTTTAGTTCAAGCTACCACCACTAACTACCACCACTATAACTACATTCATGGTTTTATCATTCTCCCACCACCGTTACTAATCATTTCTACCAATTTACAATTTCTACCAATTTACAATAACTATTAGCTAATTATATAATAATTGTCTCCAATCCCTTGAAACATTACTATCACATCATATCATATAGACCAGTTATTAAATTGAACTACCCTCTCACCCAGCACATTGAATATTAAACATCACCATATAAATTATCCAATAAGGATTACAAATTTCTACCTATTACATATACACAGTCACCAAAAACAAACAAATAACCAGCTTTATAACAAATAAACCCACATTTTTTTTTTCAAAAATTTAAAAATAAATATAAATAATAATAATTTTTACCTATCATAATTTTACACAAACCCCACCACACGTATATACATACATGCGAGGAAATATTTTTCAGCGGAAAAATACATAATATGACATGTATACATTCACAAGACATTAACGAGACATTTCCGCCACACTTCCAATCTTTAAATTTCAACATTTCAACATACACATGCGTATATATAGACATAACACCACCCGTATACATACATATGTCATATCTGAAACTGTCCACATATGTTTATATATGTATGAGTACCGACGGACGACCAAGTATGTATATGTGTGTGCATACGTCGATGTTTGCGTTAGTACGATGAATGACAAAACGACGAAATTTCCCCCACCACTTCCACAATGACACCAATACACACAATCTACATAAACCCAAGATTTTTAAAACATTAATCAGTTTGTCTGACGATCGCTAAAGCGTGAAACCCAGGGTCACAAACTCACATCTATCCAACAAAATATGTTAGCTCTATCTCTGATATTGAGCGCTTTCTAATAAGTAGCGCGCATATAATATAAAAATAATTATACATATATATATTTATTTATATTTATATACACTTTTCACACACACACACACGCACACACACACACACACACACACATACATATATATATATATTGTCATCCACAGACCTGTTTCGTTGTATGACAGCTCTTCAGTGTGGCTTGACATCCGGTTGCCTCTAGCTAGGATCGAAACACGGTTGAATTTCAGCAGGGACAATTTTAGCGTGTATATATATATATATATATATATATATATATATATATATATATATATATGTGTGTGAACATATAGTCTTAAGATGTTGTTATATTTATGGGATAAAATTGCTCAATATCTGAGATGGAGCGTGTGTAAATATAAAAGTGAACTTAAAGTCAACACTTAGAGGCGCCAGTCTTTTTCATAGTACATGCAATCGTCAGGCCAATTTTGTGGCCTGACGATTACATATAACATGAAACAGATTGTCGTCTCTAAGCGTTGAATCTATATTCTTTTATATATATATATATATATATATATATATATATATATATATATATATATACTCAAATATATGGATATAGATCCGACAGTATGAAGAAAAATATAATGAAAAAACAAACAAAAAATCCTAATATGCGATTATGCATAAATGACATTAAACATTAAAACAAATATAATCGAATTTTAATATTTTGTTTGTTTTTTTGAATATAAATGATTTATATATATATATATATATATATATATATATATATATATATATATATATATATGTATGTATTATAAAGAAGTAATCATGCAAAGAAATAATCAGTAAAGTTAATGTAATTAATGGTGAAATCACTTCGCTAACAGATTCAATAAAGCATTAACTTACTAACCACTCGTTGAATGACGCGATCCTTATTTTTAAAATTGTAAGAGTGAGTAGATGTTCCGTCAATGCTAGTCACCAGGCCTTAGTACTTTTTTGCGTTCAGGTAACTTCCAAGACGAAAATAAATGTATTACGAGACGAAAGATACACTATTTACATTATTTGGACTATTGTCCTCATCTTTGTCGCCATATTTATTACAACGTTTCGCCTCTTCAGTATCTGTCTATATTTCTGAGATGAGGTATTATGTACACTATTTACATTATTCGGACTATTGTCCTCATCTTTGTCGCCATATTTATTACAAAGATTCGCCCCTTCAGTATCTGTCTATATTTCTGAGATGAGGTATTATGTACATTATTTACATTATTCGGACTATTGTCCTCATCTTTGTCGCCATATTTATTACAACGTTTCAGCCTTTCAGTATCTGGCTATATTTCTGAGATGAGGTATTATGTACACTATTTACATTATTCGGACTATTGTCCTCATCTTTGTCGCCATATTTATTACAACTTTTCGCCCCTTCAGTATCTGGCTATATTTCTGAGATGAGGTATTATGTACACTATTTACATTATTTGGACTATTGTTCTCATCTTTGTTGTCATATTTATTACAACGTTTCCGCCGTTGTACGCTCCAGTCTTTTTCAGGTGGTTGGAATGTCGATCTGAACCCTTTATTTCGCTCACTGAGGTAGACTGTTCTAGTTCCACGTGCCATGTTCAATGGGTGACAGTTATCAGTTATCTACTGTTAATTTCCCTCAAGGACACATGGCACAGTGGATAAAGGCGTTGGTTAGATCCAGTGACGACACCCAAAGAGTGCGTGTTCAATACCCGGTTAAGTCAGTGGAGAACTTTCAGAGGGAAATAGGGCCAACCTATATTTCATCTCCCGTTGTCTACACATGGCAGGACGTTGCATATTAATAGTAATAATAATAGATTCCAAGATGTCTAAATGGAGCCTCGTACTAGTCCTGTGTATGACAGAAAAAAATGTCAGTTCGTCCTGTAAGCAACAGAATTTAATACGTGCTCGCCAATCTCAGACTCATGAGTCTGCGAACACCCGGATGTAAATGGTTCATGCCTGCATACTTTACCCGGTACATGCTGGGCGATCCTTGCCTCTAACCGTTGGATGGTCTTACCCACATAGTCGATCTCACATCGACATATAATATATATATATATATATATATATATATATATATTATTTATTTCTTATAATTTTATCATATAGACAAAACCATTTTACTCACTACAAAGATGCAACTATCGAGCCCTCTTTTGGATTAATGCTGTGAATGTTAGAATTTATATATTACTTTCGTTCTCATCGCATCGTATATATATATATATATATATATATATATATATATATATATTATAATTATATTTAATTTTTCAAAAATATGATTCCTTCGCTACATAAGTGTTTTCATGTTTCAAAAACAAGAGCCAAAAACATCAATATAATTACTAATATTAAATTGAATTAAAGTAACAAGCTCTGTTTCATCTTCAAGCGAGTTTTTGGAATAACTAATCTTGAAGCATATCTTTATAAGTATAGTCATTCATAGAATGAATTACTATGGAAGCGGCTGAAGCAACCAGTCCAATAAGGGGCGTAAGGG